TTTAGGAGTTTTTTGTTGTTTGTGTGGAAACAGGTCTGAAACACTACAAATTAATCTCACATCTCACTACACCGTGAAACATTTTCAACTATCACCTCAAGCAGATTATATTAGACTACACACTGTATTAAACACCACCATATGTATAGACAAGACAATTTCTCTGGGAGGGATCAATCATCAGATTAGTCATTAGTCTCCCAGGGCTCAGGAAAAGCTCAGGGAAAAAAGGATCTTTCTCTGAAAACTCTTCAAATGTAAAAACTTCATATTAGCATCAGGAAGAATTCAAAATCTGTTTCTTTGTAGAACCTTCTAGTTGAATCCCTGAGTAAGTTCTAATTTTTATTGCCTCAGTGCATTGCAAATATGCATATTATCAAAATCATGGAGAAGAAAGGCCGAGAGCGAACTTTTTTAATGGTGAAATTCCAAAGCTCAGTCAGAGCGAAACATACTCCTAGCTTTAGTTCAACCCATTAAGTGCTGACTGCAGAAACAGACGGTGAGTGTGCTAAGGCAGTGCAGATACCTACAGCAATGGAGCTAACATACAATCATCTTTTATGTGCTTTTAAAGAAATGTAAAATACGTTCTGAGGTTCTTTTCCCTGTGACATTCTCTAGTACCATAATCAGTGCGTTTAACGTATCCCATAGAGTAAGACTGCTTTGTGGACAGCTGTCTGTTTGTTTTGATAAAATGGATAATCAGAGCCAACTGACTGTTGACTAATAAGACCCTGAAATCCAATTATAAAGAAAAAAAAAACTCTGAAAAAAATAATATTTTGTCATAATACATGGTACATGGATTAATCTTTGGTGTCATACAAATACTAAATGAAAAGTGATAGAAACTGAACAAGAAAATTAATTCACTGCTTTATCAGTGGAAATAAAATATTTAAATTCTGTAGCAGCATAGGAGGGGGAAAGAAAACCCAGTAATTTAGAAAAATGCTGATGTCTGCCAAACCAAAACAAGGCTTGTCTCACTACCCTGCTGAGAAACAAATGCTCAGACATATACTAATTGCTGCCTACCGTCAGTGTTTGGTCATCCTTGTCGCCAGCATTAGGTGACTGCATGAATGGGAAAAAGAACAAAAAGAAGTGTCAGATGGAGCATGCATAAAATGTGAGGCAGTAAAACACCATAGATGTCTGACCCTATTAATGCTGTCGTGATACGTTTTTGAACAGCTCGAATTAAAGCATCCTAGAGAACAAGGAAATTGGAGTAAATTCACAGTGCAATGATGCAGGAGTCTTTTACTCTTGTCAGTTTTGTGGACAGGAACTGTAGTCATTTCAGGGCCTGGCACACAGCAGCCGGGCTGCAGATCACCATGTTCACTTCGTACAAACTACGCAGGGAGGCAAACTCCCTGTACGTCAACCAGTCTGAGAGTGCAAGGAATAAAAACCAAAAAGTGCTAAGAAACTCAGGATTGACCAACTGTTCAATGAAAAAACTAAAAAGGAGTAACATTGCCTTGGTATTTTGCAGGAAGGGACTAGGAAAAGGAATTAAAAAAAGGTGTTTCAGTTTAACCACTCTCAGCACATGGCCATTTAGCCCAAACTGGCAGTTCTGGTTAAGGACGGGCAACACGGATGGCACATACTTCACTGTCATGAGGGAAAATGAGACTCTGGATGGATTTTAAAGGCAATTAATGCTTTCAAATAAGTGATGTATCTTGGAGACGATTTGTGATTCCTATGTCCTATCCCCAGGACAACTGCAGCAGAGCACATCACCAGGAGACACTTCTGAGGGAGAACAGAATTTCCACTGAAAACAAACAAATGCAAAATTTTGTATTTGATTTGTAGTCCTGAGTTTTACTTGTTTCTTTAACAGAATTAACACTTGCGTTAAACAGGAACCCAGAACTTTTGTCATGGAGTATGTTTCCATGACATCTTGAAAGCTCAGTGATTAAGTCGTGTTATTTCTCTAGTCATTCTGCTCATCGTGAGGAAGGGAAGCTAACACCAGAGTACACGAAATACGAAACTCCAGTCATCAAGTACTAATTAAAATAGGACACAGTGCAAACTCCAGCTGTCTCACATTCATTCTTATTTGATCATAACCCCTTCCCCACAAGCTGGCATATAAATAATTTCCTCCATCTCAAGGCTCTTGTTTGGTGCGTTACATAGAAAACAAATTATGTTGCAACTGTTCTATGGAACAATCTCCCCAGTGCATTGAAACTCAGTTTTTGGACACAAATGAACACTAACTTTCAGGACGTGCCTTTTCAGTTAGTGAATTAACCTTAAAGGTTAAATGGAAGGCAAGTAGTTATGAGTGAACACTGATCACAGAGGAGATCCCTTCTGTTTCATAAGAAATAAAAGAATAACCAGAACTGAACTCTGTCAAAAATTTCCCCCTCACCCAGCTGTGAATATTAACTTGAAGAAGAGATAATGAGGTAAAGAAAGGATCTTTGTTCTGACAAAGGAACTACCTGTCACCACTGAAACTAGACTGCCCTGGTGTGAGAAATGGTCAGGAAAAAAGTTCAATGCCTCTATTGAAAAGGATCATAATGGAAAGAACTTTTGATGGAAAGAAAAAAGAAAAGAAAAGAAAAGAAAAGAAAAGAAAAGAAAAGAAAAGAAAAGAAAAGAAAAGAAAAGAAAAGAAAAGAAAAGAAAAGAAAAGAAAAGAAAAGAAAAGAAAAGAAAAGAAAAGAAAAGAAAAGAAAAGAAAAGAAAAGAAAAGAAAAGAAAAGAAAAGAAAAGAAAAGAAAAGAAAAGAAAAGAAAAGAAAAGAAAAGAAAAGAAAAGAAAAGAAAAGAAAAGAAAAGAAAAGAAAAGAAAAGAAAAGAAAAGAAAAGAAAAGAAAAGAAAAGAAAAGAAAAGAAAAGAAAAGAAAAGAAAAGAAAAGGAAAAGAAAAGAGAAAAGAAAAGAAAAGAAAAGAAAAGGAAAAGAAAAGAGAAAAGAAAAGAAAAGAAAAGAAAAGGAAAAGAAAAGAGAAAAGAAAAGAAAAGAAAAGAAAAGGAAAAGAAAAGAGAAAAGAAAAGAAAAGAAAAGAAAAGGAAAAGAAAAGAGAAAAGAAAAGAAAAGAAAAGAAAAGGAAAAGAAAAGAGAAAAGAAAAGAAAAGAAAAGAAAAGAAAAGAAAAGAAAAGAAAAGAAAAGAAAAGAAAAGAAAAGAAAAGAAAAGAAAAGAAAAGAAAAGAAAAGAAAAGAAAAGAAAAGAAAAGAAAAAAGAAAAGGAAAAGAAAAGATAAAAGAAAAGAAAAGAAAAGATAAAAGAAAGAAAATACAAAATCTGTTTTCTAAAATGTCATTAAAACAGTGGATGCATTTTTGCATAATGTGTGTGTGTGTGTATATATAAATATATGTATAGTATACCTACAAATTCTCTTTCAGACACAAATACACATGCACACTTGCAAACCCATAATTTATTTGTGTATATTTTGAGAGACCTTCCTGGGAGGGAAAATTTATCTTGCAGCAAATTTGCAAGAAAGCAAAAAGGATAAGCCAGGAAAACTTCTTCTTGTCTCCAAAGAAGCAATTTTGGACCGTCGAATCCTGAAGATCAGTGGGTATATTTACAGAAGTGAAGTTTGTGAGATGTGGATGAGTGTTCAGAACTAGAACTTTTAACAAAGTTTAAAAAATTATTATTTGGGATTTTAAACTTCTGAAGACAGGAGATCTGTTTCTTAATTTTAATATTGAAAGACATGACGTATTACTTGTCGTGTTCTACCTGACTAAGGGCTGAAGAGTGTCACTTTTCTCATGGCCAAAAGGACTTGAGAGCATTCAGCATGCCTCAAAAATACTGAGCATGCTCTAGGATTAATATGTGGGCTTTCCTAAAAAAAAAAAAAATTAATGTTGAAGGAAACACGGTAATTTACTTGAAACGGAATGAGATGAAACTGCATGAATGTATGAAAACAACTAGATGATAATTTGAACCATGTAATTTAATTTGTAGAAGATAATTAAGTTGTAAAGAGAAAGAATAATGAAATACATTTTGCATATATATGTTAAGGAAATAAAAGAAAAGTGAAAACCACATCTGAAATAATTTAATTATTCGTCAGTACAGAATGGGATCTAACATCGTGAAACTGTTTTTTTAAATTGTTTTTTTCCCACACATGATTAGTAATGCAATTGCTTCTGAGCTTAACTTGCCAGTCAAGTTACATCCTAGAAGAAATGTTCAAGACTGGAATTTTAAGGCAGAAATGTTTCCACAGCTTTAAAAACAGAAATGTAAAGAGTGGTTTGACATTTTGGTGATTAACTAAATAATTCTAATGCCTGGATTATCTCCTGGATTAAAAATAACAACACCTTAAAATGCTGTTTTAAACTATGGCAGTGAAAAATTCAGTTGTGGTGTTTCTGTTTACATATGTATTTGATGGCACTTTTTTCCCATTAGGATGGCCAATTAAACTATCATCCTATTGTTTACAGTGAGTTTTGCATTTACGTGTTCATTGCTATGTAATTTGGCTATCACACACTACAGGGCAAAGTATTCTAAAGTAGCATTTTTCCATTGTAGAAACATTTAGTATTCAGACATTTTATACAAACTTTCAATTTAAGACAACACTTAAAAACTGGTTCAAGTTTAAAATGATTGTTTCTTTGCACTGGGAGTGAATACTATGTTTTTTGGACATACTCAATAGTGATTTCTTTAAAGAAAAGTCACATTCTCTATAAAAATAAGTTTGTTCTTAAATCATGGCAACCATTGCATAGTAGTTCCCTCAGGATCAGAAAGAGATGGAAATTCTGTGTCATCTGTGCATTACATATATTTCTGAAGAAATTACCAGAAAAAAAATCTTTTACAAATACATGTTGTAATTTCTTTAAATCCATGAATTTGTTATAGTTCTGCAAAATGAAAACAATGGATTCTAGTATACTCTCCTATTCAAAAGTAACTGGGACGTGATCCTGTATTACGTTTTTATCAGAATTATAAAAAGATTACTCATGAGACAGTTAACTAATTTTTTAAGAGAATTCACCAAAATATTTGTTGGTTCTGTATGCCACGGCAGTACATAAGAGTTTGTCCATCCTCCTGCCTGTGTTGGTGATCATGGATTCAAGTTTGCTCCCCCTGTGCTAAAAGTCTTAAAACATTTTGTTTCAGGAATAATAATAAAAAAATATCTACTTGCTATGAAGAAATGGTCTTTGGTATCCTTTTCACACATCTCTTTTTCTCAGTGATGTAAGTCCATCAGTGATGTAAGTCCATCAGTGATGAAGCCTGACATCTTCCTCACCTTGTTTGGGAATGTGTGTTCTTGAGAAACAGGCTACTCAATTAATTAATGCAAGAGATGATGCCTTACTAACTACATGGTGAATCTCCTCATGCTCTCTGTTAAAATAAAGCCAAATGAGGAGCAGCATCTATAAAGTGCTCTAGGTATTTGATATAGAATATCTTTGTTAAGAGAAGACAGCTGGTAACTTGAATCATCTCTTAGACTGCGTATTCCAAAACCAGAATCAGAGAACGGACTGCATGCAGCTCTAGCAGTTGCTTCTCTAGTTGAAGTTGCCACGTTACAGGTTCAATAGCCTGAAACAATAAATGAACTAGACTACCCGTCTCCTTCTCTTAACATGAGAAAACCAGGCTGTCATAACAACAGCAACTGGATTTCAACACCCTTTATACAGTATGGTTTCACCTCCCTTTCCTGCTTGCTGAATCTTTTCCAACCATAGTAACTAAAAAACTTTCTTTTTAAACATGCTTTTACGAGAATAACGAAAGTTCATGATGTTTGGTGGCTGGCAGTGTGGTGCTGAATGCAGTACGGTGTCTTTAATTACTGTAGAATATGAGCCCAGATAAGGTTTTGCTAAATTGTATAAAGATGTTTTTTAGTGAAGGACTTTTGCTACTCTCTCTTGAACCTGTTTTCAAAAGCAGCATCTGGACTCTGCAATTTTATACCTATCAGTGAGTCACTGCTTGTCAGTCCTCAAGTAAATTACAGGTGATAGTTTTCTTGGTGTGCAGGGCTCTCTAATCTTCACAAGACACTC